AGCTATTCTTGACTGCTTTCCCAGGGCAGAAGCAGGGAGCTGTATGGGAAGTGGAGCTGCTGGGATTAGAACTGGTGTCTATATGGGATCCCAGCATGTGCAAGGCAACAGACTTGAGCCTGTAGGCTACTGTACCATGCCAGGTCCCATTTTTTTTTTTTCTTGATGGACTGAGAAACAAAGGGAGTGAGAAATAAAGTGAAGGAAGAAGGAAACAGGAAAGAAAGAAGCAAAGAAGAAAGGAAGGAAGAAGAAAAAGAAAGAGAGCCATCCCCTGATTCACTAGTGAAATGCCAGCAAGAGCTGGGGTTGGAGTTGGGGCTGGAGTCAGGAGCTGGGCACTCAATCCAAGACTCCCCATGGGTGGTAGGAGCCCAACACTGGAATCAGTCACTGCAACTTGCCAGTCGTATTAGCGTGAGTCAGAAGCCAGGCACCATGATGTGGGGCGTGGCCTTTTTAACTACTTGGTGCAATGCCTACTTCCGTAGCCTCCAGATGCCAGCATTCCCAAACTTTTCTTCAAAAATTGTACATTTGGAGTGTAGGACACTCTGAGTACAGCTGCTTTTGGTTTTTAATATTTTTCTTATTAGGTAATATTTGCTCATGAACAAAATTACTATTATTTTAGTGAATCATATCCAGCCTTCTTTACTGTCTTTGTATCCTTGTAATATCATGCGTACTAGTCACATGTAGCTTGCCTTTTTATTATAGTTTATATTACTGTAACAAATCATTTACCAAAAGCATGTAATCTGCTTTTCTCTTAGTTTATGCTGAATAGTTTTCCATTAGTGTAATTTATTGTTATTGGTGTGTTTCATTGAAACATTTGACATTTTTCTGATTTTTTTATTTTTATTTTTGTTGATGTTTACATAGTTGATCAGGGTGGAAAGGGTCACCTTTCGATTTTCTTCTTCCTGTATAAGGGAGAGAGAGCAATACAAGAGGAGAAACCGTGCCCAGCCTCCCAACCACCACATTCCCCCGGAAATGGGGAACTGTCACCCGATGTCACCACAGGGTCCCCATTGTGGAGCATTCTCTGAGGGATCTGCTCATGTGGTTTCAATAGTTCTGAGATGCTGCTGATATCACTGCTTCAAGGATGAGGAAATCCTTCCAAGGCCAATTGGCTGTCATACTCCACCTCCGAGTCCTTTGGCCCACAAATTTGCTGTCAAGCTTCATTGGGGTAGTTGATCAATTTGTCATGCTCTCCATCTTCAGCAATCCAGTGGGTGCTGTGGCCCAGTCCAGCCCCATCCAACACACGCTTGGCTCTCATGTACCACAGGGAGAGCTGCAGGGCAGTTAGAGCTTTCCCGATAATCCCCACTGGACTGATCCTCCCGCTCTGATCATGTGCAGTGGACTGCTCCTGTCTGCCCCACATCTTCTACTACTTTCCCTGGCCATTGGTAGGGAGCTGGATTGGAAGTGGAGCAGCTGGGACACGCACTGACACCATATGGGATGCTGGCATTGCAGATGGGAGCTTAACCCATGCAACACCAACCTCTCTTTTGACTATTCAATGCTGCTATGACAATTTATATACAAGCACATGAGTATCTGTTTTCAGTTCTTTAGAAAAAAAATAGAGTAGGCTAGTCAACTATGCTGGCACACTGCTATGGTTAACACAGATTTGGCATTAACCCGACCCTGGATGCCTGCAAACCATTACTTGTTTTTTCTCCCAGCAGGGTAACACTTGCCTAGGTACAATGCAACCTGGGCTGTTGCCCACAACTGGGGAAATTTGCTTTATTTTATTTTTTAAAGATTTATTTGTTTTTATTTGAAAGGAAGATTTACAGAGAGAAGCAGAGACACAGAAAGATTTTCCATCCATTGGTTCACTCCCCAAATGGCTGCACAGCCAGAGCTGAGCTGATTTGATCTGAAGCCAGGAGCCAGGAGCTTCCTCCAGGTCCCCTGTTGCCAGCCGCATCTGCATGTACTGGCCACATGCCGTACCCAAAATGGCGCCGGCCGGAAAAGCCACACCTTGGTTCCTGGTGACGTAGCTTTCGCGGTACTGTGGCCAGTACATGCAGATGCGGCTGGCAGCAGTCCCCCACATGAGTACAGGGTCACAAGGATTTGGAGCATACTCTGTTGCTTTCCTAGACCATAACCAGGGTGCTGGTTGGGAAGCAGAACAGCCAGGACAAAAGCCAGTGCCCACATGATATGCTAGCATTTTAAGGCGGAGGATTAACCTGTTGAGCCATGGCACTGGCTTCAATATAATTTTGTTTTCCTTAGGACTTGCTAGAGTGCTTTGAGAATAGTAGAGGGAACTTACAAAATTTTGTGAATAAATTAAGTTGTAACTAAAGTTTGTGGTTTATTTAGTACTAACACTTGCTCAAGAAATATTTGGTAGAGTCATTAACAATAAATACATGTATCTCCTTTGGGGTAGCCCATGTGAGAAGCTGCTCAATTATTTGACACTTAAATTCGGAAAGGATACTCACATGGCTGGAGAGTTGAGTCACATACTTATAGTCTTTCTCTCTGTGTCCTGTAGTAGTATATTAAATGTATTTATCAACTTTCCTGAGAAATATTCGTCTGCACTCGGACACTGTGAGAGCACGAGAAGATGATGGTTTAGTAAGATATTTCCTGAGGTCAACATCACATCCAAGTTTTGTTAAGTTGGGTGATTTTTTGTAGACATTTCAAATAGCAGAAGAGCAGACAGTTTATTCATATGTTTACTATGAAGTTTGTATTAATCAAAGTTTTTCCATTTAGAGCTGAGGTTGGCAAATTATTTGCATCAAGTCAGGCTTGCTTATGTTCTGTTCATGGGCAAGGAACAGATTTTATATTCTTTAAAATATTTATTTTATTTTTACCCGAAAGGTGGAGTTAGAGAAGGAGAAAGAGAAGTTTTCTTCCATCCACTGATTCACTTTCCAAATGGCTGCAACAGTGGGAGCTGAGGTGATCTGAAGCCAGGAGCCAGGAGCTTCTTCCACATCTCCCTTGTGGGTTCAGGAGCCCAGGGACTTGAGCCATCCTCTAATGCTTTCCCAGGCTATAAGCAGGGAGGTGGAACAAAACTGGAGCAGCTCGGATTCGAACTGGTCCCAATGGGGGATGCCAGGCCATAGGCAGAAGCTTAGCTTATTGTGCTGTTGTGCCAGCCCCCAGATTTTACATTAAAAAAAAAAAGTTAAAAAAAAAATGAAGACTCTGTAAAATGTAGCCCACAAGCATAAAATAATTGCTGCTTGACCCTTTATAGAAAAAAAGATTGTCCACTTCTAATCTAGGGCCTTATTATGTTAATTTGTATGTATATAAATCTGTCCCAATGTGGCACTTACTGAAAACTATTAAAAATTAATGAACAGGTATTAGGTACCTGAATATGATCAGGAATTAGTGTAATGAATTTCTCTGGATGATCCAGTAAGACATTTGCATTGACTTTTAGGAAGACTCTGAGAGGGGCCACTTGCAGCAGCGTCTCTACCACCTGCTTCACTTCCGACCCAGCTCTCTGCTCATGGCCCGGGAAGGTGGCTGAGAACAGTTCAAGCCTTGATCATTGCCAAGGGAGATCTAGAAGAATTTTGGGAGTGAAATGGCAGATGAAAGATCTCTATGTCTGTCCTTTTCCCATAACTCTACATTTCACATAAGAATAAATACATCTCAAAAGCGAAAGGACCCAGAGACAGGTCTTTGACCTGTAAGTTAAGGTACCCTTGTACCGCATTGAACTACTCGTTTTGATGCCTGTCTCTGGCTCCTGACTGCAGCCTTCTGCAATTTGCACAACTTGGGAGTCAGCAAGTTATGACTCAGGTAATTGGATTCCTGCCACCCAAACGGGAGACCTGGATTGAGTTTCTGGCTGCCATCCGTTCTTGCTCGTTAAGGGCATTGGGGAGTGAATCAGTGGATTGGAGTACTCCTTTTCACAGCACCCCTCCCCATAAAAATCTCAAAGGGTATGGAGTGGTGTACATTTGGCATAACAATTAAAATGCTATTTAGGATATTTGCATGTTATATTGGAGTAACTGGATTTGAGTACTGGGTATGGCTCCTGATTCCAGATGTTTGCTAATGCAAATCCTGGGAAGCAGCAGGTCTGGTTCTGGCAGTGTGTCCCTCCATTCTGGAAAATCTGGATTTAGTAACCAGAAGTTACCTGGACTATCCTTGGGCATGGCAAACATTTATAGAAGTGAAACAGGATGGAGCCCTCTGTTGATCTGTCTCAAAAAAAAATTACAGAAAATTTAGAATTAAAGATGGGTATTTGAAAATAAAAGATACAGTTATAATTGATACAGTTATAATTTAAAAATATGTGATTCAGTGGTTCTTTGTCTTCTAATTCCTACAGCAGTGGTCTGGGACTCAAACTGTTTACTGTTTCACTGGGCTATAGTTTAATGATTCGAAAAGAAAAGAAAATGACAATGAGTTATTAATGCATTTAAAAGCTTTTGAAAAGAAGGCATCTGGGGGCGGAAGTTGTGCTGCCCGTGATTTCTGCTTCCCCTGTGAGTCCTGATTTGAATCTCAGTCTCACTTCTGGTCTATTTTCCTGATAATGCTCCTGGGAAAAGAGCAGGTTATGATCCAGGTCCTGGAACCCCTGTCACCCACTGGGAGACCCTGATGGATTTCCAGGTTCCTGGCTTCAGCCTGGCCAAGCCCCAGATATTGTGACCATTTGGGGCAGTTAATCAGCAAATGGAAGCCGTCATTCTCTGTGTCTCTCCCTCTCTCTTTGTAAATCTCTGCCTTTCAAATAAATAAATAAATGTTAAATATGGATAACATCTGCATATTTATCTAATTGTACTTTATCTGTCCTGTGAATTTTGTTTAGACTATTACAGAGTAAAGATTAATTTTGATTGCTGAAGTTAATATTGTGTGGTTTGGGAGCTGCTGAAAGTTTTGAAAGTCCCTTAAAAAATCTGACTCATCTTTACCTCTCCCTTTAGCTTGCAGCTGTTTGTGATGTCTTTGTCGAAAACTATGTTCCTGGCAAACTGTCCGCAATGGGCCTGGGCTATGAAGCTATAGACAGCATTGCTCCTCATATCATCTACTGCTCCATCACAGGTATTTCAATTCCTAACCTTCTTCATAAGCACACTTATGAATCTCTGTATTTTATTGTTTCAGTAAGAAATCTCTGGTTGCTGTTGGTTTTCTTGAAGCGATTCAGCTTTCCTGCCCCCTAAGCCACTAGGCATCCGAACATGAATATTTAGGAACATTTACTTAAACCAGCGTATTCAGAACTGTAGTGACTGTATTTATTTGGATTTTCTGTCAGTTTAAGATTCTGCCAGTTTTTAATTGATGCTTTACAAAATGCCTTTACTAATTCACTTATAGGTGATTTATATGTGAACTATTAATCGGCTTTAAGATAGTATAGGATCCAATGCATCCCTCAGTATATTCTGAAGCAAGGGAATAGGAGTACTGTGAAGTCTTACAACTGTTTGGCTTTCACCATCTAACCTCTTACACGAGAGAGAGAGAGAGTGTGTATGTATGTGTCTGTGAGTGTGTGTACACGCATTCCTTTTGGTTATGGGGAGAAAAATAGTGGTTCTTCATTTTATATATGTTGGAGGTACTTAACTGTTACTTAAGGAAGGATACAGTATAAAAACGTGGCTTTTGAAGTTTGTTGTTAGTTTTTTTCCCAGAAAAATTCTTAATATTTTCAGCTTTTATTCATTAATCTACCATAGACAGGTTTACTCAGCTTTATGTCTCTAATTGCCAGGAGATGTGATTCTGTGATGCAAGAGTGATTCAAGCTCACAACTGGACTCTCTAGGAGATTATTTCCTATGTGAGGGACTTCTTTTTGTAATTGAAAAAGGGCAAAAAAGGAAAAACAAAGGAGAGTGGTGGAGGCAATGTGGAGTGAGGGGCAGTTATTTAATACTGAGAAGTAAGAGAGTACTTCGTTGATGATGTGGTATTTGGTCAGAGACCAGAATGAAGTAAAGGAGTGAACTATGCAGAACATGGGGGCCTGAGGCAAGAGTATCCTGGCTGTGTTTGTGGGCCTGCAATGCCGGCTGGCTGAAGCAGGATGGTCGGGGGAACTGGATAGAAGGATAATGAGGGCAGTGCTGGTGGGCAAGCTTATGAAGGCCTGGGGATACTTGTAAGAGCTTATTACCGGATGTTAAGATCTAAGGAGCTTTCTATAAGGCATGAAGGTGAACTAGTGTACTACATGATTTAAAAAAGATCCAAACAAAAAACTTCCCTTCTTATATTTAAGAAAGCTTCTCTGCAAACAGGAATGTGAAAAACTGTGGCTTAATAAGTGACAGAATGTCTCTTGTTTTAAAAATATTTACTGTTCACAAAATAGTATCTATGGCACTATTTCTGTATATTCAAATCAATTGAAATAATTCTTTGCTTTTCATCATGTAATTATCTATGTGTTATCTTCATATGAAGTGAGCTGTATCTTCAGTGTTTGGCTGGTTGTTATTATTTGAAAGACAGACAGACAGACAGACACACACACACACACACACACAAAGGGAGCTCTTCCATGAGCTGATTCACTCCCTAAATGCTCCCCAAAGCTAGGACTGGGTCAGGCTGAAGTCAGAAGCCAGGACCTGGTGTGGCATGTTTGGCAGCTATTAAGTACTGAAGCCATCACTGGGTGCTCCCCAGGGTGCCCATTATTAGGAAGGTGGAATTGCAGGCACAGATGGGACTCACTCCTTAGCAGTCTGATATGTGATGTGAGCATGCCGGGCAGTGTAATTGACTGCTCTAGCAACTGTCTGCCCCATGATTGTTTTTAGTTTAGGTAGGAAGAAGAGGCGAGGCAGTCAATAGCTTCTGTGCTGAATAAGGTTGATACAAAGGTGCTGCATATGGAAAATGATTATTTGCCACTAAATCTGAATTTTTCAGGTGTGCTGTTTAAAGTATATGTAATTAATTTTCCATTCTGTGCCTATTTTCATGTGCAATGAAAGGAGAAATGATTACTTTGAATTTTGCAATTTGCTGGCGATACAGAGGTCTAAAATATATACATGGGTAGATCATTATCTTCTGAGTTACCTTGTTATTGTAAAAATATTATTTAGCTAACCAATGACAATCTTACATGGCAGTAAGTATTATTTCTCTTCCCCATGTTTGTGATAAATTGGAATTCAGCTGTTACAGATTAGTTAGGTTTGGTCTGCTCTGCACAATTATACCATCTTTGGATTGGTGGTTATCAAGTGTATGCTCTCCTTTTAGTGAAAGGTTGGAGTATAAGAGAAAAAGTTCATTTTTTATTTATAAAATATTTACGTATTTTCATCTACCTTAAGAATAGGGAACACCCAGTCCATAGGTTTTTTTTTTTGTTAAGACTTATTTTTATTAGAAAGGTGGAGAGAGACAGAGAGGAAGATCTTCTGTCCGACGAGTCACTCCCCAGCAGCCTCAATGCCTGGAGCTGAGCCAATCCGAAGCCAGGAGCCAGGAGCTCTTCCAGGTCTCCCACATGGGTGCAGAGTTACAAAGCTTTGGGCTATTCTCGACTGCTTTCCCAGGCCACAGTCAGGGAGTTGAATGGGAAGCAGAGCCATTGGGGTTAGAGCCGGCGCTCATATGGGATCCCGGGCATGAAAGTCGAGGACTTTAACCAATATGCCACCGCGCCAGGCCCAGTCTGTAGGTTTTTAAGGCCCACAAATTATTTGGTCTGGCCCTGCCTAGGTAACCCCAGGCAGGACTCAAAATCAGTAAGTCTATCATAGGCTGATTTTTAAAGTTCTTTTCCTTTTAATTATTAAAAAAATTTTTTTTCATGATACATTTCCTTAGATTCAGGGATTTCCTTTTCTAAGCTCCCCTTCTCCCTTTCTCCCAGTTTCCCCCTATATTGTAGCAATAGTATAGTCATTCAACCACAGTCGCAGGTCCATTGTTCTTCTGTTTAAGTGTATCTTGACATTGTAGGTATAGATAATGTAGAAAGTCCTGTTGTCAAAATGTATTTAACAGATTCATGGGGAGCCCATCTTTTATTCAGAAGTAGAGATGTATACTGCAGTGTCTCTCCACTTCACAGTACACTTTTCTCCACTACACACTTCTTCTGGATAAATATATTGGCAATTTTGTATGGCTTTTGAATGATGTTGTAAGTATCCCCTAAACTTTAAAGGGCAAGGTGATGAGAGAGAGAGAGAGAGAGAGAGAGAGAGAGAGAGAGAGAGAGAGAGAGAGAGAGGCTTTTGTCTTCTGAAAAAGAACTTCTTCACTGTTTTTTAAAATTCTTTCTCTCCCCATCTCCTGACAATAATTAGAATAACATCCATGCAGTTTGTTCTTTATTTCCTGATAAGGAAACAGATCTGTAATGATTAAGGAACCTAAAGGCATAAAGCTTCTTAATAGGAAGTAGGCTTTAAAAATCAAACTTTTGGACTGAATGCTGATAACTCAATGCTTTCCATGCCTAGATATGCTGTTATTAAATGATGACATGGACTTTGTGATTATGAAACACTGAACAGCTGTACTTCAGAATTATGTTTGCCATTCCCTTTCACTTATGTTAATCATATTTTCAATGGTGGAAGTCATGAACAAATTTACTAGTCAGGGAATCTCAATTTCAGCAGACTTCTGGAAGCAAAAGCCGTTTATGACTCATAAACTTGTGTGTATTATAAGCAGGATTCGTCTTTTTTTTTTAAAGTTTGTTATTCTTGGTAATCAAATTTTAAATTTAATAAGACTGATTATATTCATCTAAAGTTGCACATATTATGATTGTGATTCTAGGCTTTCCTGATGTTTCCCAGTGGTATTGCTGTCTTGTCAGTGCTGTCCTAGCCTCAATAGTCTGTTCTCACTCACATGTTGGCCTTATTACTGATGAGAGTAATCTTAGACTGGCTGGGAGATTTACTTTAATACACTCTGACAGTTGTGTGGTTGGAATTGCCGCAGTCCATGAAATCTGGTCTGCAGGACAGAAATGCTAAACTGATCCCAGGGGAGGAAAGACCTGATTATTTTTATTAGCACAGTCCTCTTATCTTTGCAGAGAAAGTTGAATGTGCACGTTAGGGGGCAGTGTTGAAAAAGCTATCATTCACTAGGAATTGCTTCTTGAGAAAATAGTATTTTCTGTGTCTCACTGAGTATGAGACATAGACTTATGTTTTTCAAGAAGACTTGACTTTGTCTCTAAGTGACCACCCTGTATCTTTCTATATTTTTAGAAGCACAACAGTACTTCCCCTAACAATTTAAGTTGTAATTCTTTCCTGTGTGTCTTCTGAGCATGTTATTAATTATCAAAAATTAACAACAAAAATCTTTACCACCACATTTGGAAATATTTCTTTTCTTCTTCTTAACTTCATTGGTAATTCCTTCTGGAAGGATACACATTACATTATTGACCAGACTGTGGTGGAAACATTGTGTAGAGTATTTAATAAAATTTCCTGGTTGCTTTTTTCCTCTTTAAGAAAGACTTTTTTTTTTTTTCAATTCTTCATTGACATTTAGAAGAAAGTATCTGTCATGTATGTGGACAGAATACAGTGCCCATCTGGGGATAGGGCTTCTCGAGGGACCAAGAAGAAAAGCAAAAATGCAATAAAAATAATTTTTAAAAAAAGCAAGAAGAGAATCAGGCTCATGAAAGAAAATTGAGAGAAAGTATTAATGCCCAGAAAAGATAGAAAATTCCTTTGAATCAGATAGAAAAAAAAAGGAGATCTTAATGGTCAGTAGCAAATTATTCATTCTCAGTAGTCTTTAGACAAAAGCAAATTAAATTATTCCATTTCATGCCCATGAGATGACAGACATTAAAAAATCTGAAAATATCAGTGTGAGTGAAACAAGGGAACATTTGAACATTCCTAGTTGGAGAATATATTGGAATAATCACATTGGACAGCCATTGTGAAGGCTTCATGAGGTTGTGCATGAGCTCATCCTATGATACATACACAATTTTATGTCTAGGATTTGTACCTATAGACACTGAACGTTTCCTGAAATTTCAAAGATTGAAAATTAAAGATAATAAATTATGAAAGGTG